TTTTACAATATATTCACATAGAAGTCAATTATTTTAAATTGTAATAATTTTTCACAATATTACTGTTTTTACTGTACTTCAAATAAATCAAATAAATACATCCTTGAAAACATTAATAAAACACTGAAGACTGGAGTAATGATGCTGAAAATTCAGCTTTGCAATACTAATAGTTGGGAAAAAAGTTAATAAAATAAATTATAATATAATATATAATGTATGATTAAAATGAAAAAAGTAAATAGATTATATATAATATAATATAAATATAAATTAAAATCTAATTAACCCTTATAAACATTGATTAAACACACACACATACATATACACATATATAAATTATATATTTATTTAAAAAAAAAATCTATTTAAGTATATTAGCCATATATATATATATATTCAGAATATAAATGAAAAGTATAATTAATATTAAAATATAATTAAAGCATATTAACAGGGATTAAATGTTAAATTTAAAAAATGCCTATTTATTTATTTACTTATTGTTATTAATTTAATTTTGTTTATTTAATGCTTATTCATTTAGATTTTTTTAAAATAGCATTTAAATGCATGTACTGATATTTAAAAATTAGTCGAATAATTGAAAAAAATTGTATTGCTTTGATTTTCAGTTGAATTGAGCGAATATATAACGGTAGGACGTGTGGACACTAGAAAGCGTGCGCACTGTAAAATATGACTAGTTTTATGAGCGGCTCAGGGTTTGTGAAGCTCGGTGGGTCTGTTGGGGGAGATAAGCGCGATTGAATGCCTCCTATGAGCCTTATCAGGGTAAATGTTGGTGACATTTGGGAGGCGGCGATGGCTGCGGTTCGGAGTCCGTGTGCCTGTGTATGAACTACAGATGAGCTCAGACTGTGACTGTTATGCTTTATGAGCTTAGGGCGAATACATTGAGACATTATACAAAGATAAACGTTTTCAGCAGTTGCTGTATTTGTGGGTATTTAGTATTAGCTGTTTTATTTAGTACTTGACTTGATATTTTAATGACACACATGCACACAAAATGATTGGATTTGGAGCTCCACATGGTACGTCTGGCCTCCAGTTATTAAAGATTCATTATAAAACGGCTCTGAAATCTGATCACTGAAGTCTTTCATATATACACACACCTGTGACTGCACATCAGTTGAATTCTATATAAATTAATGACCATATATTATCATTGCCATATACATTACCGTTCAAAAGTTTGCGTGAGTACGATTTTTTATTTTTTTAGAAGAAATTAATACTTTAATACAGCAAGGACGCCTTAAATTAATCAGAAGTGACAGTAAAAACATTTATAATGTCAAATAAATGCTGTTGTTTTCTATTCATCAAAGAATCCTGAAAAAACGTATCACAGTTTCCACAAAAATATTGAGTTGGCTGTTTTCAACATTGATAATAATCAGAAATTTTTCTTGAGCAGCAAATCAGTATATTAGAATGATTTCTGAAGATCATGTGACACTGAAACTGGAGTAATGATGCTGAAAATTCAGCTTTGATCACAGAAATAAATTACATTTTACAATATATTCACATAGAAGTCAATTATTTTAAATTGTAATAATTTTTCACAATATTACTGTTTTTACTGTACTTCAAATAAATCAAATAAAAAAAAACATTTAAAAAACACTGAAGACTGGAGTAATGATGCTGAAAATTCAGCTTTGTATGTATTATTTACTTAAATAGTATTAGCATTAATAATTAATTAATTAATTAATTAATTTGTTTTTATTTTCAAATAGTTTAAAAAAAAAAGTTAAGTTATCGAGAACCGTGAAATTTTACTGGTATTGGTACCGACTACTGAAAAATTCAGCTTTGATCACAGAAATAAATTACATTTTACAATATATTCACATAGAAGTCAATTATTTTAAATTGTAATAATTTTTCACAATATTACTGTTTTTACTGTACTTCAAATAAATCAAATAAATACATCCTTGAAAACATTAATAAAACACTGAAGACTGGAGTAATGATGCTGAAAATTCAGCTTTGTATGTATTATTTACTTAAATATTATTAGCATTAATAATTAATTAATTTATTTGTTTTTATTTTCAAATAGTTAAAAAAAAAAAGTTCAGTTATCGAGAACCGTGAAATTTTACTGGTATTGGTACCGACTACTGAAATTTTGGTACGTGACAACACTATTGAACCTTTAATCGTTGCACCCTTAATCATTTGATTTTGGTAAAAAACTGTATTTTCTATCGCCCTACACCAACCATACACCTAAACCTACCCCTTACAGAAAACTACTGGCTAGGCGTAATGTTTTTTCTACTGTACAGACCGTATTTTCTATTGCCCTACACCTAAACCTACCCCTTACAGAAAACTACTGGCAATTTTTGAATTTCATAAAACTTTTTTTTGTACGTTTTTTTAAGCCTTTTGTTTTACGGGTACACAGGAAGTGTCCTCATAAACCATGTTTACGTTGTAGTACCCATGTCATTATACACATTTGTGTCATAAACCATATATACCAGTACACACACGCACACACACACACATTTTTATGTAAATAAAATAAACTAAAATTAGAAAACAAAATAAAAATGAAAATATAATTAAAGCTTGATAACAGATTAAATGTAATTAAATATAACAGATGAAATGTATGTTTGTTATTTATTTATTCATTTTTATTTATTGTTATTTAGCCTTAATAGTTTGATTTTCATTAGGAAATATGGTCTGGAATTTTAAGTCTTGAAAGTAATTTTATGGAATTTTTGAATTGGAAAATGTGTTGGAACTCTGACTGTAAATTATAATAATATTTCACAGTATTATTGTTTTTAATATATTTTTGATCAAATAAATGCAGTTAATGCACGGTATTTCCTTATTTCTGAATTATTTAGAAATACAACATGATTTAGACATTTATTTGCAGATCAACTCTAAATATGAAATATAATTTGATATGTGTCTTTTCAGTGAGAGGTGTGCTGTTACTTTACTAAGTGATCAGACTAACAGTTTTCACCTGACGCATGATAAAATGGATAAAAATAACCTCTTGGCTCATTGAGATCAGCGCAGGGTCGCAGGAAAGCTTGTAAAAGGGCAGATGGTGTGTTTCTGAATTAGTCACAGTTCATCTGTGTCACATTTTCTCCCATAGATTCAGAGAGACGCTCTCTCCTTCCATTCCTGCACGTCAGGCCCAGAACTGAAGTGTTGTATAGAATTGATACACTCGTTGACTTCGTTTGTGTTCTGCTTTATCTCGCATTGTGCTGGAGGCTGTCTTGAACATATTTCTTCCTCCGTAGAGGTTGTAAGCTTTCGGAGACTCTGGTGACATTTTGGAAAACCATGGTATTTGCAAAAGGGTAAATATTGCCCTTAGTGTTTGCCCTATTTAGATTGGCAGCTTCTCTGTATTGTTTTTTTCCCTTCTTTTCTGGCGAAACAAATGAGAGAAAGACTTGATCCTGCCTCTGGGCATTTTTTTCTTGCTTCTGAATAGAAATAAACAGCCATTTTTTAATTTTTTAATTTTTGTATAGCCGTCAATTGCCCCTGCAAGGCAATAGTTGTTGACTTATCTTCACAAACCTCTCCAAATGAGAGAGAGAGGTTTGTGAAGATCGGTCAGAGTTAATTGGTCTTTAGGTCTTAGATGGGTAGATACCGTCTGATTGGACAATAAAAAGTCAAATTAGATTGTTTGCACTGAGCAATATTAATCATGCCAGATTATAAAAAGCTGTAAATCCCAGCACATTATCTCTAACAGATGGTTTTTGAACTGCTCTGCTCAGCCTGAAGTCATTTATGATGGCTACCTTCTCTCATGACAGTATAAAACTCTTCAAAGGTTCAGAGTACATATTAGGTCAGTATAGTAGAGATGATTAATGTTATGAGAAAGAAAGAAAAAACAACACTACTGTTGGAAAATCATGGGTCTGTAAGATCTTGTAGTATTTTTGAAAAAAGTCTCTTCTGCTCACCAAGGCTGCATTTATTTGATCGAAAATACAGTAAAAACATGAATATTGTGAAATATCACAGTTTATAATAACTAAAATATGATGATAAGCTGAATTTTCAGCATCATTCCTCCAGTCTCCGGTGTCACATGATCTTCAGAAATCATTCTGATATGCTGATTTGCTGCTCAAGAAACATTTCTGATTATTATCCATGTTGAAAACAGTTGTGCTGCTTCATATTTTTTGTGGAAACAGTAATACGTTTTTTTAGATTCTTTGATGAATAGAAAGTTCAAAAGAACAGCATTTATTTAAAATGGAAATGATTTGTAACATTATAAATATTATTACTGTCACTTTTGATCAATTTAATGCATCTTAGCTGAATAAAAGTATTCATTTCTTTAAAAATGAAACTGACCCTATACTTTTGAATGGTAATGTAGATATATTTATAAGTTATTATTGGTTATGCTGTCATGTAAACAAGAGTTTATTTGATTCAGTAAACTTAATAAAAGATTCAAAATTATTAAAATAACCGGTTCATAGGAGTCATTTGTTTGTGGACCCAACTAGATCGAAAGATATGTTGTCAATGTATTGTATTTTTATCCGTATTGTTTATTTATTTGTATGTAACATTAAGCATGTTTTTAGAATCAAAATAATGATTCTTGCAATCGTTTCTCATTAGAATGTCAAACTCTTAGGGCTCTTATAGGTGTGATTTGTTTAGAGAATTTACATAATTTGATTGATAAAATACACATAGCAAACATGCATAAAGTTGTATGTGTGGTTTATTCATGTGTCTGCAACAAGTAAACACTTTAATGGTTTAATGGCATGAACACATGATCTTTGAATATTATTATGCTTGTAATGATCTTTGAGCTCGACCAGTGCAGTGAAATGCATTTTGTAGATCATGTGCAACCACAGTCAAATAAACCGAATTCATAACAGCTCAAATAAAATGCTAAGAGTTTGTGTGATTTGTTTCAGGCCCCATGTATCGACTGGAGAAGCAAACCGAACCGAATGTGGCGGTGGATTTGGACAGTACGCTGGAGAGCCAGGGAACCATGGAGTTCTGCTTGGTCCGAGAAAACAGTGAGTTTTGAAGACATTTCTGATGCTCCTGCCGTTGCAGCACATGATCTATGAACGTTTCACATTCATGGAAGAGTTTTTCCTTTTATTTAGATTGAATTAACAGCAACATTAAATATAAAGTGCACAGATGCACACGTAACGCACACATCTGCTTCTTCATCCCGTCCCGACTTCATCTGCAGGTTCTCGAGGCGAGGAGAGCTCAGAGGAGGACCCGCCTATAGACATCACTACGGTACAGGACATGTTGAGCAGCCACCACTACAAGTCCTTCAAGATCAGCATGATCCACAAGCTCCGCTTCACCACAGACGTGCAGCTAGGTACTGTTTCTAAATCACCATATTTTACATTGATGAAATATCTGGCTCTACTTCTGCCAAAACACAGACCAACATCCAGATCCGAGTTCTCTTCAGATTCAGAGGGACAGAACAGAGTACTTTACTGTAGTGTTAGTAGTATGAAATAGTATAATACAGCATATAATAATAGTATGTAATTGTATAGTATTATTGTATACAGTAATAACAAATAATAAAATTACGTATAAATGCAAATAGAAAAACTATAAAATGTTAACGTGTCATTCTAAAAAATTCCTTCAATCATACATAGTAAATATTATTTTATTATTATATAGTATTAACAAAATATAGCTTAGTATTACATATGAATTACTATATATATATGCTGATTTGCTGCTCAAGAAACATTTCTGATTATTATCCATGTTGAAAACAGTTGTGCTGCTTCATATTTTTTGTGGAAACAGTAATACGTTTTTTTTAAGATTCTTTGATGAATAGAGTTCAAAAGAACAGCATTTATTTAAAATGGAAATGATTTGTAACATTATAAATATTATTACTGTCACTTTTGATCAATTTAATGCATCTTAGCTGAATAAAAGTATTCATTTCTTTAAAAATGAAACTGACCCTATACTTTTGAATGGTAATGTAGATATATTTATAAGTTATTATTGGTTATGCTGTCATGTAAACAAGAGTTTATTTGATTCAGTAAACTTAATAAAAGATTCAAAATTATTAAAATAACCGGTTCATAGGAGTCATTTGTTTGTGGACCCAACTAGATCGAAAGATATGTTGTCAATGTATTGTATTTTTATCCGTATTGTTTATTTATTTGTATGTAACATTAAGCATGTTTTTAGAATCAAAATAATGATTCTTGCAATCGTTTCTCATTAGAATGTCAAACTCTTAGGGCTCTTATAGGTGTGATTTGTTTAGAGAATTTACATAATTTGATTGATAAAATACACATAGCAAACATGCATAAAGTTGTATGTGTGGTTTATTCATGTGTCTGCAACAAGTAAACACTTTAATGGTTTAATGGCATGAACACATGATCTTTGAATATTATTATGCTTGTAATGATCTTTGAGCTCGACCAGTGCAGTGAAATGCATTTTGTAGATCATGTGCAACCACAGTCAAATAAACCGAATTCATAACAGCTCAAATAAAATGCTAAGAGTTTGTGTGATTTGTTTCAGGCCCCATGTATCGACTGGAGAAGCAAACCGAACCGAATGTGGCGGTGGATTTGGACAGTACGCTGGAGAGCCAGGGAACCATGGAGTTCTGCTTGGTCCGAGAAAACAGTGAGTTTTGAAGACATTTCTGATGCTCCTGCCGTTGCAGCACATGATCTATGAACGTTTCACATTCATGGAAGAGTTTTTCCTTTTATTTAGATTGAATTAACAGCAACATTAAATATAAAGTGCACAGATGCACACGTAACGCACACATCTGCTTCTTCATCCCGTCCCGACTTCATCTGCAGGTTCTCGAGGCGAGGAGAGCTCAGAGGAGGACCCGCCTATAGACATACTATATAGTATTAACATAATACTATAATGTAGTATAATATATAAAGTACTATGCTATAATTGTTATATAGTTTTTATATTAGAACATGGAAGATTGTATTTATTTTTATTTATTATTTATATTTATTTATATAATATAATAATATATTAATATATACATATGTGTGTATTATAGTTATATTTTAGCTTATATTATACTATTATAATATAGAAAATGATATTATTATTTATATATTTTACATAAATAATATAACTAAGACTTATAAATAAACTTATATATAAAGAGAGAGAGAGACTTGAGAAAGTCTCTCCAGTTCTTCCTTGCTTCTCCTGACTTCTCAGTTTCTCCACCTCTCAAAGCGCGTGACTCAACTCATGAACAAAAGTTTGGCAGATGGTCTTCAGATCAAACACAGTCCTATTTTGTGAAAACACACACAAAAAAAAATATAGACATCACTACGGTACAGGACATGTTGAGCAGCCACCACTACAAGTCCTTCAAGATCAGCATGATCCACAAGCTCCGCTTCACCACAGACGTGCAGCTAGGTACTGTTTCTAAATCACCATATTTTACATTGATGAAATATCTGGCTCTACTTCTGCCAAAACACAGACCAACATCCAGATCCGAGTTCTCTTCAGATTCAGAGGGACAGAACAGAGTACTTTACTGTAGTGTTAGTAGTATGAAATAGTATAATACAGCATATAATAATAGTATGTAATTGTATAGTATTATTGTATACAGTAATAACAAATAATAAAATTACGTATAAATGCAAATAGAAAAACTATAAAATGTTAACGTGTCATTCTAAAAAATTCCTTCAATCATACATAGTAAATATTATTTTACAGGCGCAGGAAGCCTGTGTGAGCCAGGGAATCTCTTTAGGAATTTCACTGTGATTGACAGGCTGAAATTTTTTTCTGAAACACTGATGTTTGCATGCTATTTTTTTTTAAGTCATGTGAACGATTGACAGCTGTCACATCCATTATGGATGTACTGTGTGTGTGTGTGTGTGTGCTTCTGAGATTGACCTGTAATAATAATCCAGACCTCTCTCTCTCACAGCGTTTCCTACAGAATCAGTGTCAGTCTGGGTTGGTTCTCCTTTCATATTTAAATAACAGGGAAATAAACCCACACACCTGTTAATCTTTAAAACCTGGGCGTCGTTTTTATGTAAACTCTTTTGATAAAAACAGACAGTTGAAATGTATCTATAAGTGATTTTTAAGATAAAACCACCTCACTTTTCCAGGAATTTCTGGTGAAAAGGTCGAGATCGATCCTGTCACCAATCAGAAGACAAGCACAAAGTTCTGGATCCGACAGAAGCCAATCTCCATCGACTCGGATCTGCTGTGTGCCTGTGACCTGGTGGAGGAGAAGAGTCCAAGTCAGTTCTGCTCGTAGTTTTGTGAAATATGCATAATCTTTAATTATTTATATACATTACCGTTAAAAAGTTTTGGGGTCAGTGTTTTTGAAAGAGTCTCTTCTGCTCACCAAGGCTGTATTTATTTGATCAAAAATACAGTAAAAATTAATATTGCTTTTTGAATATATCTTACAGGGTTCCCATGGGTCCTTAAAAAGTCTTAAATTTAGTGGTATCAAATTTAAGGCCATAAAACGTCTTAAATTGTTCAAGAAAGTCTTTATTATGATTTCAGAAGGTATTACATTTGGGGACTGAAAGACCAGAATTGCGATATGGCTTAATGTGACGATTAAACTTCAAAAGGCTATGATTTCGTTAAATAAACATGAGCGCTGCATGTTTCAGAGTCCGGTGCTGCCTGCTTTGTTTACTTCCGTTACCGGGGAAACTGGGGTTCTATTTGTGCCGTTCCAAAAGCGCCTCCTGCTGGTAGAGAATGAATGTGCATTTTCAATAAGCC